CCCCCCCCCCCCCCCCCCCCCCCCCCCCAAGGGGGGGGGGCCCCCCCCCCCCATAAAAAAACCTTTTATAGCACTGTGGCTCTTTGTTTATCCAGGTCTGAAATGCTCATATTCATAAACGAGCAAAAGTTCCCGGCCTCAACAGCGACGTCGGCTCGGCACGGTGGGCAGCTCTGATTCCGCAGCAGGAATCAGGAAAGCCGGGGCTCTGGACCCGTGTTTCCGACCGGCCCGCCTAAGGAGGGGGCCGCGTGCAGTGCATTACCAGACCTTGCAGGCCCACAATCACTGTTCTCCTTCCCTGGGTGTCTCTGGAACAATTACAAGCAGATGTTTTCTCCTCTGTGGCTCAGCATGGAGGCCAGCGAGAAACTCCCTGCACTTTCATCCCCGACCTCTTCATTAAAAAGCATTTTTTTTTAATTTCTTGTTAAATTAGGTTTTCAGTTTCTCTTGTTTGTGGAGAGTCTTTGTGAAACAATAAGTTTTTTCCCTGTTCCTGCTTCCAATCAAAAGTTAATTTTACTTCAAAAAGTCTTTAATGTGACTAATGCGACAGTTAAATTATTTGCTCTTACTCATTACAGTAATATTTTTTTTACTTTTGATGTCTGTGACTTTTGTTTAAAATCTATAATAAACATTTAAAAATGTAATCCTATCCCAGCGTTTTGTCTTAAGACTAAACCCTGCCAGTAGGTTTGTATAATTTACATCTTGGACCCCATCTCTCCCGCTGTCCCTCTCTCAGGTAGCGATTCCTGGACCATCCTGATTTGTCTTCGAGGATCCGAGAAGAGCTGCTTGAAAAAGATGAATTCTTATCGTCTTCAGGCTCATCAGCGGGTGAGTGCCTGCATTCAGGACTAGGCCCATATTAATGTCAATTATTATTTGGCTCTGGGGACAGGGGACATTGTGCAGCGCTTGTTTCCCTAAACGCTTGGGATCTGTCTGGCTGCTTTCTGGCGCGCCGTTGAAATTAGATCAGCTGCATTCTTCAGGGAAAAAAAAACACATATTTTTAGAAGCTGGGCTACAGATGTATCCACTTTGATTAGAGAGAAAACATTCCCGTCCCACCAAATGCATACGCCCAGCTCACGCGGGGCAAATCCGACAAAAGCGATACCCGAAAAGTATCAAACGTGTTTAGAAACGAGCGGTAAAATTTACCAGCACGGCGCCGATTTTGTTTCTTTTCCGCGGTTGATCTCTCTGAACTTCCCATTTGCGCTAAAGTGCGCTGCTGTTTTCGGGTGCCGGCGCGTTTCGGCCCGCAAACCCGCCGCTAATCCCGGCACTTTTTCCCGCAGGTGAACATGATCCCCACCCTCACTCAGGCTTTCTCGAGCGTGGGCGGCATCTGCCGCTTCCAGGCCCACAATCTGCTGTCAGGTACCCATCTCCCTCCTCCTCGTTTGCTCCCCCGCAGAGCGCTTGCGGATCCCCGCCGCGAGGCTCTCAAACGCTCATTTTTTTAAGTTAATACCGACGACGGTCATGAGGCTTCCTCTGTGCAACTCTAAAGGGCAGACGATCATTAATATAGGATTACCTGTACCTTAAATAATAAACGGAAATGTTTGACTAAATGAACAATAGTGTAAGGCACGATGAAATGTATTTTAAAAAGTATTTTATATTTTGAATAAGTACACTCAGTTTCATGTTACTTAAATACTCTTCATACGAATGAACACACTGTTTCTTTGTACATTATTCGATTATGCCTTATTCTAAAACATTGTTATTGGGCCTAAAATAGCTCTCATAATTGGATGACGGACTGCCTGCACTTTGGCCGGCCTCCCTTTCCGATGTTTATACTGCTGCTTGGGGTGCAGTTCACAGAGATCGTCATTTAAGTGATGTGTCCTCGCTAAATCGTGCCCTTTGTCCCGAGTCAGTGAGTCTGACGGAGGTTTACAGTGTAGCCTTTGTGAGGGGGGGGTCTGGCATAATCGGCGGAGCAGGGATCACTTGGTATCCCGGTGCAGCCGGCAATTTCTGGTGTTATTTTCGTCGTGTGGGTTACTTTGAGATGTAGTGGATTAATTACAGGTTCTCGCATTAGTGTCAGTCATGGGGAAGTTCATAAAAGTGAAAGATGTTTCTGATTAAAATAGCTGCGTGTTGATTTTTTATAGACTTCACTAGTGCTGAAGCTCAGAGGTGTACAGGTCACCTGGGTACTTTAGGAGAATGATGTTTCCATTACACCCAGGGTGAAGGACCACTCCATCACTGGGCTTGGCTTCCTAATTCCAGTGTGACACAGGGTGTTGGGCTGTGATATGGGTCCTTGTGCAGCTTTTGCATGGTGACATCGGATAAAAATGGTTTTACCCATAATCCTGCAGATGTGAGAGTCCGTCTGGCATCTCGTTCTATCAGGGCGAAATTCCTGTCTATTTCTGCTGTGTCATGTACCATTTCAGGGCTGTCGATTCCCATAATTCCCTCTGCCTGTGGACCCTTGAACGCCCCCCTGGGAGACACTGACCCTGCAGCTACAGAGGGCTGGTCAGTCTGAAAGAAACTTAGCATAAACGCTAACATGTGACATACATACTAACGAGAAATGTTTTTTAGTTCACAGTGGAAATCAATCAAGCGCTTTGTGAATGGGTTTCTATTTATTTAATACATCAAGATATTTGATATTGTTGATAATTATTACCCAGTTTGATTTAATGCTTTAAAGTACAAAGTATCCCATAATTTTCTGTATGCCTGTTGATGTCACAGATTAAGCCTTACAGTGAAAGTGAGAATTATGAGAGATCTGATGCCACACTTCGTCGTGTGCTGATTGGCTTGTAGACCCAGTAGCACGGAATTCTCCCGTGTGACTGGCTCCCAGCTCGTCACCTGACCCACTGAGTCCAATCCTCTCCTCCACAGGCCCCCGTCAGGCCCCACCCCTCCGGCGAGTCAGGCGCTCTTCACCACAGTGTCAGTCTATGTGCTCGTCACCTCGGCCTCCCCCCTGGCAGCCTTCCTGCACACCACCGGCCTGGTCAGGCCCAGCCTCTCGGCCTACAGCCAGGCAGCCCAGGTAAGCAGCCTCGTCAGGCAAACAGCAGGAGAGGCACTGCGCTCAGCACCGGAGCCGGGGGCCTCCCGGAGAGCGGTAGAGAGTTCCAGAACATGATCGGATGGAATCCTGTTTATGCACTTTTTGTTTGTACTATGATGATACATTGCCGCATCATCATAGATTTCCATTTCCAGTGGGAGTGGCGTGTGGTTCAGTGAGTTTGGACGCTGTGCCTGTGTTCGGAAGGTTACTGGATTGAATTCCAGAATGATTTCTCCGTTGGGCCCTTGAGCAAGACCCTTAACCCCCAATCGCTGGTACCGACTGACCCTGCTTAAAATCCTCACCTTCCGATGGTGAAGTAGAATGTTCTTCCGCATCCCAAAAAGGGGCCAAGCAGCTTTGCTGGATACTGTTAGCAGACCGAGCTGAAAGGCTGTGGGACATACGCCAGACCGCCTTTGGTTTTATGGATTTAAGTTTCATTTGCTTAAACTCCGGTATGAGCCGTTTTCAGATGTCAGAACCCGCGTTTCTGCGGTCGACTTCCCCTTAGACCATGCGACAGTAATCACAGGAGAAGCGGCCGGTCTCGGGCGCCAGAGCGGCGAACAGGCTCCGCAAACGTACGGCCCTTTAAGTTTGAAGTGGAAAAGTTGGAGAGCGGGAAGGTAATTAAAAGACGAGGCAAGCGCCGAGCTGCTGGCCGTTACAGATCACGTGACCAGAGTGACAGCCAGTCGCCTCGGGTGGGTACAGAAAAGTCCCATAATGTCTCTCTGTTTCGGAGACAAACTGACCTTAACTTGACCCGGAGCAACAATGCTGCGAATTAGGGATGTTGGCACAAAGAAATCATCTCTTTCGGCCAACGCAAACAGTGTTTATGTTAGAATCCGCTCCCTGGTGGCAAGAATGCAGAATTGACACGCAAACCAGGCAAAAGCAGAAGCTGTAAACACCGTATCACAATCCTGCCACAGGGTGGAGACAGAGCAATATTAATGAAATTCATTTTTAGAGACTTGCGTATGTAGTGTAGGGTTGTGGAGAGACTGAATGAAATATTAAATATCTTCCCCGAAACAAAATCAGCATCATTCTTCTAAAATATGAATTAATTAATGCAGGCATTTGCAAAAATTACAGTTTCAATTTAGCCTTGTCATTTGTTATTGTACTTTTAATCTGCTGAGTAAAAGTTCAGTGAAGAGTTATTTAGACTGGAGATGGTTTCTATAGTCTAAAGCCCCCGAGAAATGTAATCATGCTGTACAGTGTCACCTTGTGGTGTGTTTTAAAATGACAGGCAAATAACACAACAGGGTGGTACAGTGGATAGCATTTTGTTGCTGTTTTGTAGCATGTTGCTGTTTGCTCCAGTTTTCCTAACTGTAATCTAACTTGCTCCAGCTCCCACCCTCAAGCCTGACTAGGATAAGATCTTGAAAGATGGGTGGAACAATACATTTTAACTGTTGAAATTTTAATTAGCCTCTTAAAAAGATCATGAAAATTATGTATTATTAATGATGACAACCAAGGACACTTTTCGCCATTTAGAAAAAGTGTTTTCCAGAAGTGCTTGCGACGGCACAGCGTCGGCTTTGTGGTCGAATAATTCAATTCGTAAAGCAAAGCATTAATAAAACTAAAATATTTATAGTATTCAGTTTTTTTTGTTACCAGTAAGGAACACTTTGCCTCTGTTGCCTTGGAGACTCACAGTAAGTGCATTTGCCTGTATTGTACTCTGGAATACCCTGAAAAATACACCCTGCGTTATGTACAATGTGAGACTGCTTGGCGGCCTGTAAAACCTGATACCTTACAGACTCTCTCCTTCCATCTCCTGCTTCTCAGCTCCACACGTTCTTCCTGGAACAGCTGGGCTCTGACTCGTACCTCCAGCCTCTGGACAGCATGAAGGAGGCCATAGCTGCAGTGCTGCTGTCTGCGGCCATGAGCAGTGAGGACCAACGTCCAGCCCAGGCCAGGTCAGCCACAGCCCTCGGTGACCTTTGACCCCCCATGGCTCTACCAGGCCGGAGCACACCTTGACTCCGGTGGTGTCTGGCAGCTCATTGTACCCTAGAGACAGATCCCAGAACCCTGGGCAGGTGCCACATGGTCACCTGTCATTGTAGAAGAGAGACTTCATCTGGAAATAAGTGGGGGTGTTCATAAAAAATAAACATTTTTTAATGCTAAAAACATTAACTATACTGCTTTGTTTAGAATTTTGTGAATATCTGACCTTCTGTCTTCTAAATGGTATGGGAAAACGGGGGGGAGGGAATGCCAGGTGACACATGAAGGACATGCCGACTCATTCACAGAGAGACTCAGGATTCGAACCCGCAACCCTGGAGGTGTGATGCAGGGTTAGGGTTAGCTGATGCTGCTGCGCTTTTGATTCGCTCCCAGCTTCTTGCTGTTTTCCGGTGTTTCCCACTCAGGTGTGAGCTCTGCTATCAGCTGCTGACCTTTACACTGCAATACGGTGGTTCCGTTCGGCCCGAAATCGTCAAGGTGAGACTCGGGTGGGACTCCTTGGTTCTCCTCGGGCGGTTTCGGGGGGTCTTTACCCTTCACCAGCACCAGCAGTGGCTCCTTGGATCCTTAGCTATAATATAACCTCTGGCTTGTAGGAGACAGAGTGTCAAACACCCCCCCTCCCCCCAAAGTCCATCCCCCACACACCCCCAGACATGTATACATACACATACTACACACATGCTCACGTTTAGACACACATCCCCAAACAAACCTGTTCATTTGACCATTTCACAGCTGCAGGAGCTGAGTGGTAAAACTTGAACCATCAGGTTATGTAACACAAACAGGAAGGAACCATATGATTTATAGGCCCATCTGCCTCTCCTCAGCTTCCTGTTTCTGTATTTTCGCTCAGTGCTCCTCAGTGCTTCTTCATGGCTTTTCTATATAAACAGAAGCTTTCTGCTATGTTACAATTTTTTCAAGATTCTCAAGGGAAGATTTTTAATTAGAACTTTAATATAATAATTATAACTTTAAACATCTTTTGTACTAGGACATGCAAAGTAAAATGAAAGCTGAAATGCCCCAAAGAATTTGACTTGGTTTTGTGCTTGCTTTTCCTGTTTTTCTGTAATAAACTGAATGATCCCCTTAAAACTACCTGGTGTGTAATATTGTTTCACCAGAAGGGGGCAGTATGCAATTGAATTTTATCCTTAGTAAGTCATCTTACTGGGTCTCAGAGTCTGTGGTTTCATCTTCCAGGTGCAAGCAGAGCTGCACTTTGACGATCTGAAGGACCCTGGTTTTGATGGTCAGATACTCAAGGAGTTCATCCTCGAGGACACACTCAACTTCCTGCTGCCGACACGTAACAGGAGCCTGACATCTTTCCCAGAGTGCATAGCGGCCATAATCAGAGAAAAGGTTCTGCTCCTTTGTGAAATGCGTTCATGTTTACAGCTTGTCTGCAGCAGAAGGCTGAGGATTCATAGATGCGCTGTGGTGACCTGAGTGAAGCAGGCTTCTCCTTTGTGTTCTTTCCATATCCCAGCGTGGCGCTTCACCACTGTGATGGACAGATTGTGGACATAAGGTTGTCAGGTGGAATGATGGATTATGTGTCATCTTGTCTTGACAGTATGGTGGCTGTGAAGGGACATACAGCAATTGTCTGCCTTACAAGGAGAAGCTTGTTCTCCTCCAGTTTGTCAGCCAGCTCCAGTCGCCAGGACCCTTCGACGTGGTAAATACTCCTTTTACAATACATTCTGTCGCAGATTCCTGTAAGTCTTGGACGTTTTTTTCAGTCAGACAGCTGCTGTGGTTCCCCATTGCTGTGTATGTGAGTGTAAAACTAAACATCTGGGGCCTCATGTATAAACGGTGGTTACTCACGAAAATGTTGCGCACGCCCGTTTCCACGCTCACGTCGAGATGTATAAAAACTAAACTTGGCGTAC